CCTTAATGCCCGGTAGGATGCTGGATGCTTAACAGATTTTATTGTGAAGATAAATGATGTTGCATAAGAGGAGGGAGTGAAGGAGACTTGCTATCTTTATTGAATAACTCTGAATGAGGCCGCTATCATCAGTCCTACATCATACTGTGTGCTGATATGTGTATCAGGCTCCTGGGTGTGGCTATCATGCAGGTACTGTACAAGATACGGCAGAACATTTATATCTCTGGTGACAGTGAGAGAATCCTTTCACATACTGTAGCAGCTACTATTTTTTGCGGGGTGGGGGAGTGAGATGTGGTCCCATTTTTGGTTGTGTTTAAAGTAGAAACTGTGATGATCCCCTTGTAAGGAACCCCTTCCTAAAAAGAAAGGCAGCTTTTTCTTGTATAAAATCCATTAAATCCAAAAATGTTTTATTATATTAATTTAATTATTAATAATATTATAATAATAATTAGGCTTTTTACAAAAAAGAAAGTTAAATTATTATCTGGAATTTATTTATTTATTTGTTTGTTTGTTTGTTTGTTTGGTTAACATCATGCAGATTTGTTTTCTTCTTACTGATACAAATTATTTTATCTATAGAATTCCATGATTATAATTTCTGACCAGTCTTAATTATTATTATCAAAAATGTTAATAGTATTGAATTAATAAGTGCATATTAATGTAATTTTCCTCATATTTTACAGACCCCCTAGCACCCCCTCGTGGCCCCCTGGTGATGATAATCTAGATATTACAGAACAAATTGGTTTTGTAAGAATATGATTGAGTGTTTGAGATGGTATTAAAATCTCTGACTTTTGTGATCTAACTTTGGGATTTTGGAAAATCTGAGACCAGTCGAGATCTCTTCTGAAACCAAGAAACGAGAGATTAATAATAATAATAATAATAGTTGTTGTTGTTGTTGTTACAAGTATGTTTTTTTTTCTTCAGGACAAACATGTGAGGGGCAGGAGACTTCAGCAAGTCTCCATTTAATCTCATCGCTGTCTCAGATAAATAAATAAAAAGTTCTCATTTATGATTTTTCCTTCATATGGGAAAACATTTTCCCATATTCTATTGCTTGCTGTATTGTTTTCCACTGAATGCCTCTTCCTCTGGTCACATCCATCATTCCTGACACTTATTCCCTGTGTTTTTTCCTATTTGCCCTGCTCTGTACTTGCACCTTGGCATGGCTGCAGACCAGAACATTGTGCTGCAGGGGGACTTGAGGGCCGTTGTAAATGACTGGCCAGGGAAACAAAGCCCCAAGCTTGTCAGCCAACAGAGGGACCACAGGCACCGAGCGGCCTGCTGAACTAATGGGATGGGAGGTGGTCTTCTTTCAGTGACAAGAAATCGCCATTGACCTCTGCATTTAAATGAGAAACGGAGGGAGAGAGATGGGTGTGATAGTAAGACAGCCAGAGAGAGATTGTCAGTATTGTCTGACATTTCTTGTCAACAACAAGTGCTCTGTAATGAGGGAATTCAAATCTATGAGGACAAGGCCAGTGGAGCTTAGCTTTTCACTACATCACGTCTATAATAAAACAAATTATTGAAGCCTCAGCTTGTAAACTGTGATCTTTTGAAAAGATTTGTATCAGTGAATCTCCGCTGCTGGGTTGCTGAAGCTCCGTCAGAGATTTGACATTTCGCCAGAAATGAGTAGTCATAGATAAGCAGCTATTTTGTTGACTTGCTTCTCTGATATCATAAGCTTTTCATGCATTTGTTCAGAACCAGAAGATCTAGTGGCTCAGCTTTACAAAGCACTGGACTGGACACTCAAAGAGACTCATGGATACTAAGTCCTTACAGAATACCTTAGCTGTTTTTCAAAGCATTACACTGCGTTTACACTAGATCTATCAACGATTATGCTTAATATTTGAAATCCTTCAAATGGTGTTCTTGTAGCTGGTAAAGATCATAAATGGTTTAAACAAAATTCGCTCAACACCTGGATATATATTTGCACCTTACCCTGATGTTGCTGTGCATATGGGCATACTGTTGATTCAAAAATATGATACTTTTCAATGTTTTTATATATATAATGTATAAGTAAAAGCAAGTGTATATTGCAGTATAGTCTTGTGACAATTTTTGGGGGGTTCAGTTCTAATATGACATTAAGTAATTTTATTTAAAGGGATATACGGTGAGTAAATGATTGAGATTTTTGGACGAACTATCCCTTTAAGCCATCATTTCAGTGAGACGCATAAATCGTCAGCTAACTCTGAGAGTGTTGTCCGCACTGTCTGTCCCCTGTGTGTATTGCTGCTTCTGAGCTAATCGATTCTCTGTGACCTTCACTGTATGTCAAGCCGCCAGGCACTCTGGGGGAATGTCACATCTGAGAGACGGCATCAGTGCTTGGCCCTGGGGAACCCCATCCCTTAACACCCCACACCTGCCTCGGCCCACGGAAACAAACTAAGACAGAGGGGATGTCAGGGTCTGAGTAGATTTCCAATCTCTTAGACACTTGGCCCTATCTCACCTCCTGACAGAGGAAACTGACAGTCTGGAGGAAACCAGCCCCACTGAATCTCAAGGAAAGGACTCAGTAATGAGGCTGATGGGCTACTAAGCTGTTATCAATATCATCAGTGTTCTGAAGGATGACTAATAGAGATCTTGTCCACTGCTCAACCCTTTTTGCTTTGAACACAAAGCACAAGCGCTTTGCATTGATTTCGACAGCAGTTTGTCAAAAGGTCTGGCAATGCACCCAGATGCAATTATTGGAAAATGAATTGAGTTTTTATTAAAAACATTTATAGTTTTATTTATTAAGGTTTTAAGATCCTCCTCTGGGGCGTTCTATCACCTGGCACCCTGAACGCATGCCAAATTAGCCTCAGAAGACCTGGTGAATATTTTGAAAATGAATGAGCATGAATACATGATCACCCACAGCTGATACTCAGACAAAGTTATTAGTGACTGCAAAAGAATCTTGCAAAATTAACGTTGATTTGTTAATTGTTTATTTTTATATATTACAATTATATAAAGAATGCAATTAATCATGCTCTTTGACCCATACATAACTTAATAAGGATTCAATAATACAATTCTATCTTCAACGTTTTTTCCTACTCAGCAGACATTATCTGCAATTAACCAAATATGGATATTTTGTAATCAATGTGTTTAATTGACACATACAAGGATAATTTGAATGAATGCAAACAAACGAGCCGAGTTAAGTTGTACAGTATAGCCAAGTCATTTGTATAGCACTTTTCACATTGTTCAAAGCATCTTTACAGAAAAACATGATGCTTATGTTTATAATATCTTGATGCCTTGCATTTAGCAGAACAGAGCTGGGTGATTAATAGTTTTATGACAATATAAAGAATCAAACAGTTGAGATTTGCGGTTTAGTATATATTGCATGTATGCGGATAAAGTTGGATGCAATATATATCCAATTTTAGATATATTTCTAGGTAATATTTAGATAACATTTTGCAACTATAATCAAGCAGTTGAGATTAGCTATATATTGCTTTGTCAGTGTACTGTATGTGGGTAAAATTGGACATCCTATATTTCCAAATTTAAATATCTCTGAACAATTTTATAGTTTACATTTTGCAATGGTATATCGTAAACAATCAAGCAGTTGAGATTTACTGTGTAATATATATAACTTGTTGTGAGTGTACTGTATGTATGTGGATAAAGTTGAATAAACCTACAGTAGTGGTAGGTTGGGTTAATGAATTCATTAAATGGTAATATTGAGAATTATGAAAGCTGGAAGTTTTTGTTCAAATCAGGGGTAAAATTGTGATCATATCGCCCAACTTTAAGCAGTTTAAATGAGGAGTTAATTGAAATTGGACATACTGTACTACTTATACATAACACATTGTACATAATTTCTTAATATCTTTTCCATATAGAAAATCATTTAGTGTAATTGACCATGTCCTTTACATTTTGTTATGTCTTGTTTGTTCATCATACGTGGCAACCTTTGTCCACTTAACCATTGTCCTTCTCTCAGTTTATGGTCTGTATTCAGGGCAAGCATTCAAATGTTCTTTATTTCCAGTTTATTTAATATTGATGTCAGTCAAAGTCTCTCAGGCACATTATAAGTTCTGTTTACAGATTTACAGCAGGTACGCTTGCACACGTTGTGAGGACTGTAATAAGTGCAAGGTTACCTTATTATGTTGGCTTTAGCAAAGTGAACTTGGCATCATTAATCACAATGAAGTCTTTTCCCAAATAGTAGACTCCTGTATTAATTCTAAGAAGACAGAGAGAGTGATTACTTCATTGTTCTCATCTATCATCCTTCAGTAATACATCTGGAGCAAACCAAATTCATGCAGACTGTACAGCAGGCCCCTCCCTGTCAGTTACAACTACATAGTAAGAGGGAGAAATGTGGTTGCTTGTTTCAGAGAGGTATGAGGCCTCTTGCATTATCTGGTGGTTATGTGGTAATCGTTGATATCACTTTTTGTGTGGCCATCTGAGGAGATGTCTTAGATTATAAAGTATTGTGGAAGGGGAGGTGCTGAAAGCTATTGATTTTAATGGTCATGAAATACTCTACCAAAAGACTTCAGAGCCTCATGTACTACTTCTTGGCAATGCTTAAAATGGTGTAATCTGAATAGAAAGCTGATAGATTGTGTTCAAAAAACCTCTAGTAAACTTTTAAATTGCAATGTAGTCCAATGCCATTATATGCTAAGAACATAAATGTAATAGAGGAGTGTTATGCTTGTAAACATTTAAATGACAGAATCAGAATTTTTGGGTGAACAATCCCTTCACTCACCCTCATGTCATTGCAAACCTATATGACTTTCTTTCTTTTGTAAAACATTTTTAAAAAATGGGACATTTTAAAGTATGTTTAACTTTGGATAAATACATTTAAAAACGCTCTCCTAACCTTTTACTTACCTCTTAATCTGTTACATGACGTAATTTTCCTTTTCTTCTTTATCCTTTAGCATCACCAACTCTTCCGCCTTTGAAATCGGAGCATTTCAAACCATGTCAGGAGAAAGACCTGGCCTATTGCCTGAATGACGGGGAGTGCTTTGTCATCGAGACCCTGAGCGGCCCACACAAACACTGCAGGTATGACTGCACTTCCTGTTTATGCATTGGAGGGAAAGGTTCGGTCTACTCTTCGCTCAAGAAATAAATGCAATCACTATGGATGGGAGGCTCTATACGGTTTCAGAGCGATGACAATTCCATATCCCATTTTCGGAGAAAATGATCCTTCTGGAAATATCCGCCAGTAAATCTCTCTCTCTCTCTCTCTCTCTCTCTCTCTCTCTCTCTCTCTCTCTCTCTCTCTCTCTCTCTCTCTCTCTCTCTCTCCTCTCTCTCTCTCTCTCTCTCTCTCTCTCTCTCTCTCTCTCTGTCTCTCTCTCTCTCTGTCTCTCTCTCTCTCTCTCTCTCTCTCTCTCTCTCTCTCTCTCTCTCTCTCTCTCTCTCTCTCTCTCTCTCTCTCTCTCTCTCTCTCCCACATCGTTTTTCTACTCTTGTGTCTTATTGGCCTCCTCTCTGGGACTCTCGCTGTTGCATGAAGCTCTTAGTCATGCTAACGATGACAGCTTTGTCATAGCCTGAGAGCTGTCTAAGGTCCCTTCTCTGCTAATTAAAAGTGGCACTTTGCAGAAGTTCATTAGAGGCTTGTTTTGGTTCTGTTGGCTTTTTTTTCAAGGTTGAAAATAGGATTCACAAAATGGAGGCAGAGCATTTCTGACACTGATGTGTTCACCTTTTGCACGAAGCATGAGCACAATTTCAAATAACATTTCCTGGATGTGAGGGTTCACTTCCGTAGGTTTTGCATGAGCAGTCTTTTTTTCTCATTTGCCTAATGGAACACGGAGAAATTGCATGTTTGGAACTGAAGAGCCAAGAAGGAGCAGAAGCCAAGTGTCCTCATTTTAATCAGTGGTAATTGGTGTTGTTTTAGGTGGCCCATTTATTTGACTGAAGCTAAGCTAGTTCAAATGTTCTGGCTCTGATTAATTCCCAGAACACTCTTCCCTCCCAACTTAAAGCCAAGGACATCCATGCATCTGTCTGTTCCTCAAAGCAAGGTTTTGATGCTCTCAAAGGATCAATTCACTGGAGAATGTGGATTCTATTGAAAGAATAAAGCTACTAAATCCATTTGCATTGCAGCGGTTTTCATGGCATTGAAATGGCATACACAAAAAGCTATACAGTATAGTTTGTGCTGAATGCCACTCTTTGTTGATATTTTAAGTAGTTTGCATGCATTGCATGTTTTATGGTTATATGGGCCTTTAGCCTTCAAAATAACTGAAACCGGAAGTGACAAGCACTGGGTTGTGCTATAAGATGTGTTTGGACTCTATATTTACAGTATTGAAGCTGTGTGCTACAGATGTTTTTTGAGACACCTGCAGTTATAACGCTGTTTCTTGGCTCCCTTTATTCGATTGCTCTTTTTAGTTGAGTCTTGAACAGTCTGGCAGTGTAGTTTTTTTAAATTAAAATCGGATGTGCGGGGCTGCATCAGGAATCCAATTTCTGTAACCCATAATGCAATTTACATTGGATGGTTATGTTGCATTTTACATTGGATGGTTATGTTGCATTTTACATTTACTGGCTCTCATTGAGCACAAAGCAATATGCTTGAAGTAGGCAACCAGTCACTTTCACTCACCAATTTGCTAAAGTGCTATCAGTCTAAGTGTACCAGTGTGCTCAAAGATCTAAAAGCTAAGCTAAGTATCATGTGTGCTCCAACCATGTATGAGTCTATGGCGCAACTGGCTACTATGGCATAGAGCCAGGGTCCACAATTAACACCCATCAAGCATCAAATTCAAGTAAAAAGTGGCTTTGGTGAGTATGGAACATGGTACTCTGCACTTGGCTGGTAACGTTATAAGGATGTTTTTTTTTTTTTTTTTTTTTTTTTTTTGAATCGCTACGTAGTATATAGCGCCAGCAGCCATATCACCCTGTAGCTCAAGACTGGTTGGCCACTGATGCTAAGCAGGGTTGAGCCTGGTCAGTACCTGGATGGGAGAACTGGGAAAACCAGGTTTCTGCTGTAAGAGGTGTTAGTGAGCCCATCAGGGGGGTGCTCACCCCGTGGTTTGTGTGGGTCCTAACGCCCCAGTATAGTGATGGGGACAATCGGAGGGCTTTGAACGCAAAAAGGTTTAGATCCACTGGTCTAAATTGAACTGAAAAAATGTATAAATAAATAAATTTGCCAGACGGGCCGGTCTGAGTATTTCACAATCTGCTCAGTTACTGGGATTTTCATGCACAACCATTTCTAGGGTTTACAAAGAATGGTGTGAAAAGGGAAAAACATCCAGTATGTGGCAGTCCTGTGGGCGAAAATGCCTTGTTGATGCTAGAGGTCAGAGGAGAATGGGCCGACTGATTCAAGCTGATAGAAGAGCAACTTTGACTGAAATAACCACTCGTTACAACCGAGGTATGCAGCAAAGCATTTGTGAAGCCACAACACGCACAACCTTGAGGCGGATGGGCTACAACAGCAGAAGACCCCACCGGGTACCACTCATCTCCACTACAAATAGGAAAAAGAGGCTACAATTTGCAAGAGCTCACCAAAATTGGACAGTTGAAGACTGGAAAAATGTTGCCTGGTCTGATGAGTCTCGATTTCTGTTGAGACATTCAGATGGTAGAGTCAGAATTTGGCGTAAACAGAATGAGAACATGGATCCATCATGCTTTGTTACCACTGTGCAGGCTGGTGGTGGTGGTAATGTAATGGTGTGGGGATGTTTTCTTGGCACACTTTAGGCCCCTTAGTGCCAATTGGGCATCGTTTAAATGCCACGGCCTGAGCATTGTTTCTGACCATGTCCATCCCTTTATGGCCACTATGTACCCATCCTCTGATGGCTACTTCCAGCAGGATAATGCACCATGTCACAAAGCTCGAATCATTTCAAATTGGTTTCTTGAACATGACAATGAGTTCACTGTACTAAAATGGCCCCCACAGTCACCAGATCGCAACCCAATAGAGCATCTTTGGGATGTGGTGGAACGGGAGCTTCGTGCCCTGGATGTGCATCCCACAAATCTCCATCAACTGCAAGATGCTATCCTATCAATATGGGCCAACATTTCTAAAGAATGCTTTCCGCACCATGTTGAATCAATGCCTTGTAGAATTAAGGCAGTTCTGAAGGCGAAAGGGGGTCGCACTAGGGCTGGGCGATATGGCCAAAAAAAATTATCACGATCATTTTTTTATATCAGTCGATATCGATAATTATCACGATAAATGTCAAATCTTTATTTATTTCAAGTTTAATGGCAGATTTTTGCTCCTAAGTGAAAGTTGTAGAAACCAGTGTGTTAATTGTGGTTTTAAACTACTCTTTATTGTCAGAACATATCATGACAATCACTTGCCAAACGTATATTTCTTAGTTTCTGCATGTGCTAATGGGGATATTAAGTCTTGAAACAGGTTTGTGTTGCCTTACTTTAATGGCACATATCTTCAGCACAGTTTGCATTGCAGGCTGCAATATTAATATTACATGTTTTATCTCGAAACGCATATTTGACAGTGAGTTGACAGTAAATCTGCATCCTAACTCAAGCTAATACTACTATGTTAAATTTATGTTCATTAACAAAAACAGTAACATCTGTTAAAAAAAATTGACAACCACACTTTTATTTGGTCAAATGTAATATTCTGACTGAGTTTTAACCATAGTTTTTAACCATTGCTTATCATGCATTTAGATCATGATAACCACAGATAAAGCCAGGCATAGCCTATAGCACCTCACTATAATGGCAAAATGTAACTTTATGGTTTCTATGGTATCTGTATGAAAAACAGTAGCCTAAATACATTATTAAATACTGTAATTATATTCCATTAGTCATTTAATACATTGTCTACATTAATAATATAATACAATTCAATGTATATCCCACATTTCATGGTGCAGTTAATATTACTAGGCTAACCTTACAGTAAATCCATGGTAAATGGATTCAGTATCAATTCAGATTGACAGTGTTTCTCCTGTTCGTCAGCTCTGTTTCATCTGCCTTTAAACTGGTTTAAATCACTGAGACATTTGTGTTCTTCGCTGAATTCAAGCGCTTCTCACTGGATCTCGTGAGCGAGGTGATCAGAGTCGCGTCTGCTCTAGTGAGCTCACGCTGCGCTGCCGTTGTGCCGTTTGGACTTTGACCCGAGCGGATAAACAGTCCGTGAGGCGCGCGCGCGCGGTTCAAATGAGTTTCGTTCCGCTTTTGGCGCATAAACATTATCGAACATTTATCGAACTCTTGATATCGTTTTATCGAGAAAAATTATATCGCGATAATTATCGTTATCGTGTTATCGCCCAGCCCTAGGTCAAACACAGTATTAGTAGCCTATGGTATTCCTAATAATCCTTTAGGTGAGTGTATATATATATATATATATATATATATATATATATATATATATATATATATATATATATATATATATATGTATATATGTATATATGTATATATATATATATATATATATATATATATATATATGTATATATATATATATATATATATATATATATATATGTTAGGACCCTCACTGATGACATTGATAATTCAAATCATAATAAATTAATATAGCAAAGATTTGGACGAAAATGAGGTAGAAATTTGGAAGCTAAATTTTGTGTATTGGGTGTAATAGAATATGCTTTAATATTGAAAAATACATTATTTTGTCACATATTGTACATTATTGTAGCTCCTGCCCAGTCTTTCTGAAATATTTATTTAGTTAGCCTATCTAAACAACATAGACAAAACAGGAGTATTTGGGGTTAGCCAGAGTTTAGTAGACAGATGGAAAGAGAGATAGAGTCACAATTTTTTTTTAAATGGGGACATGGTGGCAACCGGTAGATGCTGCTCACTACGAAGCTAACAACTGATTAAAATAACTGTGTTTGTGCATGTTTGATGCAAGATACATGGCAGGTAGAGAATCCTGTTTCCTTTGCTGCACCGAGTAAAACAACCCGTTTGTTTCTGTTGACCTAGATTCATAGAGTGTGTGGATTCTTTGT